AGTGAAAAATACAATGTTCTTATTGGTGGTAGGACCCACCATAAATTATGGCTGAGTTACAGGTTTATAAACGCACAGTTTTGCTAATTCTTGCGTGGAGAAATCACTAAATAATGTATCCCTGCTTTACTATTTACATCGACAGTTTTATTATTTTGGTCTGTATCGATCTTATTTAAAGTTAAAAATAAATTAAATCAGGTATAATTTATTTTATTTTTATTTTTAATTATATTTTATTTAAAAAATTAATGTTAAATATTATTCAATAAAATTACATATATGATGAAATTGTAAATAGTTTAATAAAATAATAAAAAATATTTAATATAAAATATTATTTATTTCATGATGTAATAGCAATAGTAAAATTTATAATATTTTAATTAAAAATTACCAATATTAATATATATTTTTTAAAATTATTTTATAACATCAATTTCAAAAATATTTTTTACCTAAACACTTATTCAACCTCAATTTCAATTATAATTTTAACCAAACATGTATAAATATTAAATTAACATCAATTAAAAATACTTTTTATAAAATATTTTTTTCAAACTATAATTACAAAAACTACTATAATATTAAACAGGCTATACTGGAAAATGTGGTGTCTGAAAAATAGTTTTTTGTTTGAATACAATTTTTTTTGAATTTTTGAATGTAATTTTTTTTCTCAAGTTAAAAATATTATTGAAAAACATTTAAAAATAAAAGTAAAAACAGTGTCAATCCCCTTTTGATTTAATAAAACAAAATAGATAAACATTCATAAAAAGTGCAAAGTTCCTATTCTTGGAAACTGATGATAATCATTATACATATAACGAATCTTGAAAGCAGAGAATTCAATCTATAACCTTTTAAGATGCTAAATAACTAGATCTCTAGACATCGTACAATGTTTCACTAACATGGCGACTTTTGGCTCAGGAAGAAAAGGTGTGGATTCATCATCTTGGTGGGTGAAGCTCCGCATGAATTACAAATTTTCCCTACCGAATTAGAATCCATGCAAGGAGGCAGAAGCAGTGCAGCACCCTTGCTTCCTTGCCTTCCGAAAAGCTGCAAGAGGGGAGCTTCGCCCTTGATTTTATTGGCGATGTCACCACTTGGAAAACCTAAATAATTGGATCACTTGCACTTCAATGCCCATCCAGCGAGTAAGCTTATCGTCCATCCAAGTGGAATCGATTTCTATCACCGTAACTTGCATCACTAGTCAATGTCTAATCAGTTCATCAACGCGCTAATTCCACCCATGCTACCTGTGGGAGATGAAAATAATTGATAGGGTAAACTATATTTTGGCCCTCCATGGATTTAAAGTTGGAACTCCAAACGAGGATATGTTTGATGTTACGATAGTTTTTATAATTATAATTTAAATAAATATTTTATAAAAAATATTTTTGGTTAAAGATATTTTTATATTTATATATATTTAGTTAAAATTGTGGTTGAAATTGAGGTTGAACAAAAAAATAGTTTAATATATTTGGTTAAGAATACTTTTCAAATTGAGGTTGTAAAATAATTTTAAAATATATATTAATATTAATAATTTTTAATTTAAATATCATAGATTTAACCACTAATATTACATCTTGAAATAAATAATATTTTATATAAAATATTTTTTATTACTCCATTAGACTATCTACAATTTCATCACGTATAAAATACATCCGATAAGGGCTACAGTTTTCTTAGTTTTTTAAGCACGCAACAACACCAAGTAAAATGTTATGAAGAATAAAATTGGGATTGCGATCTCCATCTAATTTATTATTAGTGTCATGGAATAATATTAAATATTAATTTATTTAAGTAAAACACAATTAAAAATAAAAAATAAAATTTTTTATTTTATTTTACTTGATCAAATAAATTGAATTTTTTTTTATTTTACTGGGTCGAATAGATTGATAGTTATGTTTTAAAATATATCAAAATAATATTTATTATTTTATAAAATTTGTTTTTGATATTAATATATAAAAAAATTAATTTAATTTTTATTTAAAAAATAGTAAAATAACAATAATTTAACTATAATCCAAACATCTCCTAATCATCATTTATAAGAAGAAAACTAGTGATTGTTTGGCATTGACATCTATCTAGCACCCCATGGATTTCAATTTTTTATGATGGATAGAGCCCGTAAAAAATAATAATAGCTCAATTATTTACCGAAACAAGCAAAAAGCATGTGAAAGCAACCCTTGGCTGCGGCTTCTAACCTTGCGTTGCAAACATGGTTAATAATAGGACAACCCATGGACAGTAAATGCTGCCTTTTTCTTTATCAAATGTTTGGCTCCTCCATTTTAAGCAAAACACAATCGCCACCTTGTAAACAAAGAGTCTCGAAATCATTAATATAGTTCTGGACGTTAAAAATTCTTAAACTACAAGGCACAAGTTTAACATTTCTGAACCTGCAAGGGCTAAAAAACAGTTTACCCTACTTGACATTCGAGTACCCAAATTTTGAAGGGGTGCGAGGTGTGCAACAGGGCACAAAATGATTAGAACGTGCTTTATCTCCAAGCCATACAAGAAGCAATTTGAAAGGCTGCTATCTGCTTTTAGAATGGAGCATAGAAGCACTCATTCCCGATTTACTCTGCCTTGTTTGTTTGACGTGATATAAAGCATTTGGAAGCATCGTGCTGGAAATAAGCTCATGCATTGTTTAATAAATCTAAAGAATGTAGTCGTAGTACTTGTTCTACTCTACAGCATCCACACGAAGTAGAAATTACGACCCATCCTCTGGTACACCACTTGCAAGCATGAAAACACAGCAATGAATGAATAAAGAACACAAAATTAATGTGATATTCACTTAATAAATTTGTCTTCGAGAAGGGAATCCAGCAGGGAGCTCCAGGCATTACAAAACTAGATATGAGTTTATGCTCATAGGATCTGCCACGACATGGGGGATTCCTGCATCTCCAATCATCATGCTGTCACTTGTTTGAAGGCCTGTAGCAACGCGTAACAAATCTTCCAATGACGTTCTTTATAGGAAGGGGTCCCCTGCCATAGACCAATGTCAAAACCAAAAGAACGAGCTAACACTGATGTTAATCAAAAATAAAACCCTGATTTGGGCGGTTATCGGTATGAGAGACGAGTACTGCCGTCCCAAATGTGGCTAAATTTGGAAAAGACAATTCCTTTTGTGTTAACTCTAGTGAACAAGAAAATCCTACAACGGACACTATAGAATCTTGAATATCGCATACATGTCCCTCGGAAGTGAAGCTGGGAATACATGTGAGGAACTTAAAGATAATTTCTTCTTAAATTTTCTTAATGAAATATAGATGTAGCAACAAGAGGCTCAAGAATACTACCAAACATGGGAGTCGTAGCTGTTATTACGGTTATCACCCAGCACATAAACATGACCTTCAGGCACATACTGCAAACCAGTACAAGAGCAAAGTTAGCAGAAAGCAAAAACAAAGCATTTCTAGAGAAAATGATACATTTAAAGAAGGGATCAAACATGTGGGATACCATCCAAAACTCAAAGTGGATACAAGTGCCAGTAATTGGGATTCATCAAGCTTTTAATTTGACTAGGCTGGGCTTCTTCATGTTGACATTTATGCACCTCATCAAACAACAATGTGCACGTTTTGTTTTGAGCATTTTTACCGGCTTGTGAGCCATTTCTAGATATATGAAACATTTAATGAAGGGACCAAACATGTGGGATACCATCTAAAGCTCAAAGTGGATCCAATTGCCAGTAATTATGATTCATCAAGCTTTTAATTTGACTAGGCTGGGCTTCTTCATGTTGACATTTATGCACCTCATCAAACAACTATGTGCACGTTTTGTTTTGAGCATTTTTACCAGCTTGTGAGCCATTTGCTCAGTTTTTTCAGCCCCAAAATGGGGTTCATGGACATATTTTGCTAGCCTTGAAAAATGCTTGCAAGGCATGCAACATTACAGAAACATAAAAAGGTAAGGTTGATGAAGCGCACAGTTAAATTAGATGTATATGCAGGTCGCTCGACTAGGAAGTCTTCAGTCTGGGCAATTCCATTGACATAAAGGGATCCATGGTGAACCTGCAAGTATTGGAAGAGAGCATGGAAGAGTTCCACATTAATAGAGGCACAGCTTCTAAGTCTTAAAATTTTAAATAAGAGCATGAAATAAGGATGGAATCTGGAGCTAGATTATATCTGAGTTTGTATATTGATCATAAACCATGCAGCCATGAGCTGCTGAACGATACAAAAACCTTTCCAACAAGCAGGAACAAAGAATTGCTTTTCATAATCAATCAAATAGCAATTAAAAGAAAGTTTAAATGACAGTATGGGATGCTGATGTAACCAATCTAAAACTAGTAACCCTTTATCCCATTCTTAATTAGACTTCCAATTTTATGCCTCCCTGCATACTGCTGGGGAAGGAAGAAAGAAAAATTTCTTACCTGAACAAAGTCTCCTGCCTTTGCAACAACTCTCTTTATGAAAACATCTTCCCCTGTGATTCCGAGCTGCCATAGACAATGCAAAACAAGATATATACACCTAATAAAATGAAAACCATATAAATGGAAATCAGGAGGATTTCACACCATGAAGACAAACCTGTTTCGGAGCTCGGAATGTAACTATATCATTTATAGCCGGTACCTTGAGATAGTATGAGGCCTGAGAAGTTTGGAGTGCCACTAGTTAGTTAAAACCCAAAGTGTACGATGTTAACATTATGACAAAAAAAAAAAAGCATTTTCAGAGAAATAAAACAAGGCGTAAAATGCCAAATCTAGCACAAAAATGATTCCATTGAATCCAACATACAAAAGAACAACATTTGCAATCAGGTTCAAGAAATGGCAAAGCATGTGCATCTAGATTTCTCAAAGATTGAAGAATTCTTCCTCACAGAGTTGCAAAATGGTTTTCAACTGACAAGTATTCTCTCGATAACTTCTCAGTTATCAAAACACGTCCATGGAACCATTGGCAAACATTGCTATTTGATTATACTGACAATTTTCCGACTGGCTGCAATAAATGTTGCGATCAATTCAGCAAGTGAACATCCTGGTACCATTCATTACTCAATTCAATGACACTGTTATATTCATCCAATAATGTTAATCAAATGGCAAACGACTTTCTGTTTGCTAGCACATGTGGAAGTTCAATATTCTTCAATAAATGTATTGGATCTAGCAACTGAAGTGCAGATGTCATGATATTTAGGGAACAAACTTCTCTAGGTTCCTTCATGAACATGAACCTAACACTATCGCTAAGAAAATACAAGCCTCAACTAACAAATCTTTCTGGTCAGACACAGCCTTCACAGACAGCTTCCATAAATACGGTCCCATTAAAGGATGGGATAGAACGCTCCCTTGTTGATGAAAAGGGTACAGAAACACCCCCAGCTTAATAAAGCAACAAGCTGGATAAATTGTCTGGTTAAAGGGAGATATAGCAAAGTATAATTCAGAAAATTGTAGGTCTTTTGTAGATGAGTTAGTGGCCATCAAATTTGGATCCCCAGCACCCAATGGTAGCAAGAACATAACCATGTCAATGGTAGTTACAAAACTGTTATTCAAAGGAAAACTACTCAGAATAGCCCTGTCAACTAACAAAGTACCTTCTACAAGAATCTGACTTCAAACATCGCCACGCCTGCCTATCTTGCTTCAACGATGTTTCATAAGAAAATCAGGTTGGCTGACTAATCGAGTACAACTTCGGATTTTGCAATTACAAATTACAGTGCAAGAGTGATGTTACCCATTCAGTGAATGAGCTCATCCATTGCGAGGGTGACTACCTATCTGTTTTTGACAAGGATTGCTCTCATGGTTGCTTTTACATGAATCTCGCACTTCTTACAGGCAATTAAATATGATCTGGAGTGAACAATCTGACTATAATCTACATAGAAACATAATGAGGAATCCTCTGCAACCTAAGGAGCACTTCAAACCTACTTCAGAGGACTGAAATGACTTGCTGCGATTGAAAGCAGATTTCATCTTTGACAGAAATCACTTTCTCAAAATGATGGAACAAACTATGTATTTTGAGAAAACACTTAAGTGTAACTTACATCACTGCGGACTTGAAAAGAAGGAATTAAAAGCACCTTTCAGACTATGGAAAGAATCTCCGTCGAAATAATCAAGTCTTCTCACTCCAGCTAAACTAGCCAGATAAATTGTGGAAATACGCAAACAGCAAACCGACAAGAAATGTCATCTATAAAATATAGATGGACACATATTCCCAGAAAAAGGATGGAATTTTTCACCTGGAGAACCTCGCACAATAACTGAAGTATTTTAAAAGGTAGAGTGAGTGAGATACAAAAATATACCTTTCATGCTTATTGAGGAATAAAACTAGCTTCTTTTTTTTCTCTCTTAACCGATCAGGAAGGTAAAAATGAGAGAACCCAGATTTATAAAACGTGCCCCTGGATTCTACTTGTCCCATAGGATGCCTAAAGTTGATCAAGCAATAAAGAAAGGGGAGGTGCAAATACGTTCATCTTTCCCATTTCAAGTAGCAGTGCCTGATCACTTGTGCAAATATGACAGATAATTGAACTTTGCTAAGCAACACTCTGATAGTATTTTAAGGAAATGAAAAGTAATTATTATATCGACATACCATTTAAATGCCACTGTAGAAGGCCAGCAAACTAAAACCAACCCCTAGCGAAAATTATCACATGATACCAAAGCATAGATGTTCAAGGGACGATGTTAATAATGATAAACCTTTTCAATGATGATACGATCACCAACACGAAGAGTCGGGTACATGGAGGACGACGGGATGAAGCGAAGCTCTGAAAAAGTAGACCACAAAAGCACCAGAACAAGAAGCCTTAACAACCCATCAAGACCAGGCCATCGAAGAAACCCCCAGCTCTGGCATGGCATCCATTTTAGTACTGTGGCGGATGTTATAAAGAAATTATTCAATGCAGATGGCCTCAAGAAACTCATTGTAAAGTGTTGCGGAACTAAAGGTGATGGAAAAATCAAAAAGGACGGACCGATGCAGCAAACTATAAAGAAGATTAAAGGTGGGAGGCTTAAAGGTTTCGGAGACAGAGAAAGAGAGAGGAAAGGTATGATGTGCTGTGTATTTATTGACTAGCTCAATCTTGTTGAGGAAGTTTCAACCGGAGATGTTCACACTGCCGAGCTTTACTTTTTTGCGACCAAACTTCCACTGGAACGCGTACTTACACCGCTATATACCCCTGTAGCTGTTAATTATTTTTAAAATAAGGCGACTATAACACTATGTACAGAGTCATCATTTAAATTTAAATTTAAATGCGTAGTTTATTAGTGCCCGAGAATGGATATTTTTATTTTTTGAGTTCTTTCGAGACTGATGTCTGAAAAAATAAAATAAATGTATTATATTAATATGAGAAACTTCTTTTTAAAATCGTTTTGAAAAGAAATTTAGTATCAATTGATGTTCAAATTGACTCTGATATATTTATTATTATCAAATTGGAAAATACATAATAGAAGGTGTATGTTTGGTAATACATTCTTTAAAAGGTTTTTTTGTTTTAAAAAATATTAAATTGATAATTTTTTATGATTTTGATATTCATGTATTGAGAATATTTATTTTTTATTGTTTTACTTTTTTTTCCCAAAAATCCCTTAAGAAAACACCTTAATCACAATGTCAAATAATGCTTAAGATTACCGATACAAAAAAGGCTTCAATTAAATTGCTAAACACAGCTGCATCTGCGGATGCCATATGAACACTTCAATTTTGGCCATGCTGGATATACATATGGTGAGTTCCACGTATTACATTGCGTGCACCGTAAATATAGGTATAGAATATTGAGAAAAACTATAAAAATACATATCAAACATTAGATCGTGAACTTAAAATGGGATTAATCTAATAACCTTGAGTTTTAATGATTAAAATTATTTTAATATATTTTTAAATAAAAAATAATGTAAAAGATAAATTTCATTAATTTATCAAATAAGTTCAAATTATCAATTATTTTGATTGACGCATCTTATATTTTGTTCTCCTTTTATTTTAATATATAATTTATAATTTATTTGGATTAAAATTTATATTGAAAAATCATCACGGAAACTCCATTTTTTTTACCACTGAATCAATTAAGAAGATGCTAAAACAATATCTTCAACTTCTCAAACAACATTTTAATATCAAAAACTATTTTAAATTCAAATAAAACTAAACTTAATTACCAATAAATCCAATAATAAAAAAATAATTGGAAAAAAATAATTAATTCTAAAAAATAACAAAAAACTTATTATAAGTCAGCATGTTGAATCCACAACTTGATCACGAGACTATAATAAGTCCATGTAAAAAAAAAAATAAATAAAATAATAGATATCAACTCTCAAACTAAATGATGAAAGACAAAACTTAAAAATATTAAATAAAAAAATAAAAATAAAAACTTAAATCAGCTCAGATTAACTTAACTAACATGTAACTCGGGATTGGAAATCAGAATAACCCAATAGAATAAAAAAATTGAAAGAATAATGAAGGTCAAAGCCCAAAAACTCAATATCGAATAATGAAATTAAAAAAATAAACAAATGACCTAAAAATCAAAGTTAAACTAGCTTAATCTTTAAAAACGCATAACCCGGATCATGAGACTTAGATTACTTCATATAAGAAAAATATAAAAAAAATCATAAAGCAAAATTCTTAATCATTAAATAAAAAACAAATAGCAATAAAAATAATAAGAACCTGTTAAAAAATAAAATAAAAAATAATAATAATAAAGGACCAAATTAAAAATAAAAATAAATAAAAAAAAGTATATAAAAAACATAAAAATAACAATCAAAATAGTGATGACTAAATAGGATACAAAAATTAAATTACATAAAATGCTAATGAAAAAAATTGAAAAAAAAACCAAGAAAAAAAAGAAAAGAAAAGGCAATCATATGAATGAAGACCAGCTTGAATATAAAAATAAAATATTAAAAAATAAAATATTAAAAAATTAATTTTAAAAAAGCATCAACAGCAAAATAAGTAGCAATTAAAAAAATAAAAATAAAAATTAATATAAATACAAACTAACACTATATACTTGATTTCTAGATGAGCTGGAATGCAATCCAAGGCTATAAAAAAGAGAAGAGGAAAGAAGAGGAAAGAATAAATCAAAGCCCATCTATTGATATGTCGCACGTGCATTTTTTACCATAAAAAAAAGAATAGCACGGTGCTTTTAACACAATTGTGAAAAGCAGTGTTTGGCAATCGATAGACGCCACACGCGCAACTCAAAGAGTGTGAACATCCCCTGTTTATTAGCATCTGTTTATTTTTTTATTGGTAATTGATTTTTATTTAGTTTTTTTAATTGTTGTTTTTTTATAATCAATATTAATTTAATTGAGCTTATTAAACATATTTAGATCAACAATCCATGTCCTAGATTTTTCTTGCTCCCTTGTAAATGTCATTATCAACTCAATATCCTCTTTTTATGTGAAAAAAATTAAAGAGGCTTGTTGCATATTACATATCATCTATCTAATTATAAAAAAAACTAAAAAAACTCATCATTTTACTATGCACACACTCATATTTCTTGTGAATTTAAACAATTAAATGATGTATTCTCCCTCCATGTTAACAACTAGTGGAGTGAAAATACACACTCATATTTCTCGTGGATTTAAATAATTACATGATGTATTTTCCCTCTATATTAATAACTAGTGGAGTGAAAATTAAGGCGAGGGGAAATGGTTTTTTTATGAACTGGTATACTAAAATGATATAAGTTATATTAGTCTTCTCACTTTTTTTTATAATAAAATCACTTAGTTATTCTTGAAAGCAATAAATTTAAATTGACATCTATGAACATTTTCGTCTTTTTATTTTTTTCAACACAGTAAAATGCTCAAAATACTCTTAAAAGTATAATTTACTAAAATGGTTTTCAAGGCTTTTTCATATTTTCATTATATATATGTTTTGTTACAAGGAAGTGCATTGAAAGGAAATTTGGTATTTTTATAAATATAAAAATTATTAAAAAAATTTGACATGTGCATTAAAGCATTAACACAAGAGTGTTTCTCGTCCACTTTGAGCAATGCCTGCGGTGTAATATCAGTTTTTAGAGCAGTTTAAGAGTGTTTGCCAGTATGGCAGCAGTTGCTTTTTAAATAACTTTTTATGTTGAAATGCATGCCAATGTTGTTTTTTTACGTTTTAAAAATCATTTTTAACATCAGCACATCAAAACGATCCAAAACATACAAACCATATTAAATTTTAATAAAAAGTTTTTTGAATTTTTTAGAAATGCAGGTTCAACCGCGTTCTCAAACACTGGCTAAATGATGCTAGATGTCACCTCCAATAATTACAAAGCGATGACCTTTCCTTTTCTTATTAATTTTTTCCTCACCCCCTCAATTCCTACACCAAACTCTCATGTGTTTTTTTTTTAAATCGAGCTCTTCAATTTAGTTTTTCTTTTTTAATTTTTTACAATTTATTTGGTTTAAAATAATTTATAATTTTAAATCTTATTTTACAATTTCATCTTTTTGTTTTCATCTTTCAAATGTTGTTTTCATTTTTTTGATTACTTTTATTTTTTTACTGATTTATTTTATTTTTCAGTTTCATTCTTATTATATTATTTCATTTCATTTTTATATTAGATTTGAAATTTATTTTTTAACAATTTTTTTTTTTATATTTTTCAATTTCATCTTTCGTTATTCTATTTCATTCAATTTTTTATACCATATTTAGTTTTTATTATTTTAATTTGTATTTCTTGTATTTTTTAAATTTTGAACAATTAAAATTTTTGCTTCATTATTTTTATAATCTTACATTTTATAACATAACTCAGTTTCATGATTCAGATTATAAATTTTAAAACTTGATTTAATTTGATTTCAATATTATTTATAAATTGTTTTTTTAATTTTATTATTTTATATCATATTATTGAACCTTTAATTTAATAATTTTTATTATTTTTAATTTTATAAAGATTATTGCAATCTCATATTCAGATCATAGACTAGTCGAATCAACTCCACTCAACTCAAGTCTCTTTCAATTGATTTTTTTTTTAATTTTTAATTTTATTATTTATTTTACTTAAAAATTAACCTTTATTATTTTATTTATTTTTTAAAACTGGATTATCCTTATTTCACAAATATACTGCAAATTCTAATTCGAGTCAGCGTATTTGTACAAAGCAAATCATTCATATCAAAAACAAGTGAGAGGCACTGAAGCACTTGCGTTTAACCATAAGTGCTTAAAGTATTTTTTATTTATTTATATTTTTTTATTTATAAATATATTAAAATATTTTATTTATTTTAACATAAACATGTTAAAATAATTGAAAAACACTTAAAAAATAATTATTTTAATATATTTTTAAAATAAATATATTTCTAAAAAATACTAAACACAATTTAAAATAAAATTCCAAACATATTAAAATAAATTTTATTATTTTTAAAAAATTATTTTTAATATTAACATATCAAAATAATATAAAAATATAATTTACAGATGTCCCAAACACTCTCTCCACGTAAACATAACTGCAGTACATTTTTAAAGGACAAATCCCTTAACGGAACAAGTGACAGATACTTTCACTCACATACAACCAAAGCGCGACTACCACCTCTGTTCTGTGGACAAAACTTGACTCACCTCACAAATTCATTGCGGGCCCCACATCTCAACTCACCTCTCCTTCTTTGCCACGTGTGGATGTTTCCGTGGCCCAGCTATTCAACAATACGTCATCTCTTACACCACCAATCTCATCTTCTCTTCTATTATCCCCACCTCAGAACTCGGAACACTCGAAGCTCCCCGGACAAGTGAAACAATGAAACCCATAAAATTTCTGAGCCTTCTTCTTCGTTTTTCGCTAGCCCTATTCCATGCGACGGTAGCCCATGAAACTCCTAGAGGAACCAGCATAATCTTTGCCACACTTGGCAGATTAGATTATGACTTTGACATATTTACCCTGCCAACCGGGGAGCCGCCTACAAAAACCAACGAACTCCGAATTACAGATGGCGAGTCAGTAAACTTCAACGGCCACTTCC